TGCCGCCCGCAGTGTTCGAGCAGTACCAGCGCGCCCGGTCGCAGTTCGCGCAGGCGGTGGCCGACCTCGCCGCCCGCCCGCAGAGCATCGACACTCTCCAAAGTGCAGGTACGCGGGAGCCCGCGGGGTTTTGCGCGTCCCGTGGCGGGGGCACCGCGGGGCCGCCGCGGCCTTTCCCTGTTTGTGTTTCTTTATCTCACTTCTCCCCCGTTCTCCGCTCGGTTTCCGGAGGTCTTTTCCAGCAGGATTTGGCCCCCACCCTGCACGCCGAGTCTCCCTGGTTGCGGTGGGAAAGTAAATTGCGCTGGCCGGCTGCGGGCGGCCGCCCCGCCTGCCTGTGCTGGGGTGGATGCCCCTGGCTGAGACCTCCAGTTTATTCCGAGGAAAAATTCTCAGTACAATCCTTTTTAAAACTTACTTCCTCCCTCTTCCGATATAGCTTTATATAAAGTACAGAAATTGGAGTTCTCGATGAAGCCAGCATTAACTTGCCAAGGAAATTTTTCTTTATTTTAGAATTAAAAAAATATTATACTGGCTTTACAAGTTGTTCCTAAATTCTTCTTTCTGCCGGCAGATTGGCTCAGTTTAGGAGGGATTTGCTTTTGTTATATTGCTGTCATGGGATGTCATGAACCAAATTGAACATTTTTAGAAAGAGGAGCTGCGGGAGCAGTTCTACCAGCTGTTGTGCTGCTGGCATCTGGCAGACCCACTCCGCTCAGCCAAAGTTCCTGAGCTTAAAAGAGGGAAAAGAAGTGCCTGGTAATTGATTACCTGAATGACAGTTTGAAAACGTGCTATAGATCAGTGGTTGGTTTGCCATGTGGTATTCATGAACTGATTATGTTTTGGTGTGTCTTGATTTTGTTCTCAATACTTGTTTCCCAGATCTAATAAAGCTATCAGTCTTTTATTAAATACAATGACATCTAACAAGCAAATGAAAAAGAAAACAAATGGTGTAAATATTTACAACTTTCTTTTATTGTATTTACAACCGTTAATTAAAATTGGTTTTTTTTTTTAATTTATCACTTAAATTCTTGCTAAGGAAACATTTCATTATGGGAATAACATGTTGACACCAGGCCTTTTGTATTACCTTGCCATGGCTCTTGTTTTTTTTGTTTTGTTTTCCATCTTTTAGTGAGTTAATGCCACTGGGGTAGTTTATACAAGTGATCTCTGTTTGCCAAAGGGACATCTTGGCTATAGGAATAATTTATGCCTCATTTGTATGAAGAGGTCCTTCTGTGTCCTTTTACAGTCCCAGTTTTAGCAGCTCCCAGAGAGAGATCCCAGATAGGCAGGCTTCTTATAGCTCAGCATTTTAAAAATGCAGAAAGTTTCAATTTTAAGAAAGCAATCAAAGTGCCGAGCTAACTTTAATTGAATTGTATTTCTTTTCAAAATATCTATTTTGATGTAATCTGGTTGGTAACTTTACCTCAGAACTGATTTGTTGCTTGTGCAGAACGAATAATAGGTTCAGAGGCCTGAAAGTTTCTTCTGCACACAGTTGGTCTGAAGGTTAAATCTGCAAGGATCAGGCTCTGGGTAGTAATGTGGAAACATGTATTTGTGTAGATTATCGTACTTGGCTGTTTCTGGCCATGAGCTGGTTTTCCACAAGCTTTAGTTTTTCAAATGCTGGACAAGAGAGGAATGCCTGCAGATATGACTGCTACACTTTATTTGGATGGCACATAGAAATTGTACCATCTTTCCCACCTGTGCCTTTAAAAATACTTTGTAGTTATATAATTGCAACGAGAGCTTTTCGTTTTGGCCTTTTCTGGATAGATATGAGTTTAAAAACCTCCTCCTAAATAATGTGTGTTTATTTTTCTTCAACACCTCCCACCAAATAAAATTGGTCCTTTTATTAAAACAAATATTTTGGGACATTGCTGTCTAGCAGATAATTGGTGTGCCTCTTATGGTCTTAATCTAGTGAGTGCTGGAGCAACGATTTAGGAAAGATGACTGTCTATATGTATCTCCGTATAAATCTGTATTTAAAAGGGTTTGGGGCTTGTTTTTTATTATTCTGGTGAATAAGAATTCTTGCCATCCCTTATGGAGATCACTGTTTTAAGAACATGAGAAAAGTCTTTGCCCACTGTCATTTTACATTAGCTTTAGGGATCAGGGGCACCTTGCAGGGTTCTTTTGTTGGATCTCAAAAGTTGTCAGGGTTTAGTTTCTTTCTGGCAAAAGCAGAAGGCAGGATTGCAGTGACTTGAATTTGAACAAAATTAAATCCTTAACATGTACTGTCATGTACTCTTGTATTAATGGCGTCAGTTTATATTCCTGGAATAAGAATGAAAGATGAGTGCTCAAGGAATAAAGCATCTGATCCAGTTTTAGAAGTCTTTTTGATAAATACTTAACATCTTATAAGGAAAATAAAGTTTGAGACTTTAAAAAAAATAGTTTGAGACCTTATTCTTTGTGGAGATGTCTCTGGACACCATTCTAACACCATGAAATATGGAGGTGTTGAAAATGTAATTCTTTACTAACCTCTAAGCCCTGCTTCTGTGGTGTTAAACAGGGTACAAGCAGTGGTATTGCTGCACATTCAGAGCCTGCAGCCTGGAGGGAGCAAGCAGCCAGGATCATAGGCACAAGTTCCTTATATTGCCTTGGCTGTTGAGAAACCTTAAGGTGCTATTGTTGTGGAGAGTCCTGTGTAAGGAAAACTGGTGGGAAGCTGAAAAGAAAGTCAGAGAGGGCCAACAGGAAGCCCAACTTTTCTTATGGCATCTGAATTCTGAAGCTTCTGTATTTCATCAAGTTCTGGAGCTGCTTTTCCCACTGGGCATAAATCTCAAAGATGTTGTAACCAGTGAACTGGAATCTGGCCCTGGGCTTTGGCACATTTGCATGGCACTGGCTCTTTCCTGGTCAAGAATGTCCTGGGGAGGTTAGTGTCTGGGAGATTAACAACTTTCTGGTGGCAAGGAAATGCAACGAATGATCAGAGAGATTCTTTTATTGGAACTCATTCCTGTGTGTTTTCCAACTCTCTGATTTGCTTCGGTGAAATTTTCCTTATGATTAAATACTACCACAAATAATTGCAGGATTTGTCATTTGAATGTTTAATTAGTGGATACTTGGGGAGAAAAGCCTGCTCCAAAACTCCTTTACATTTTCCATTTAGCAAATAGACACGTGAAACAATGACATACATTTTATCAAATCTTGTTTCTTGAGGGCTGCTGACTAATGGGTGAAGCTACTTTGGTAGTAACGACTTTAAATATACTCTTTAAAAATAAATCTATTAATTTGGCAGCTACTGCTTATGAAGTTTGGTACTAGAATGCATTATTCAGCTCCACACCCCTCATCCTTCCAAAATTTAAAATCCCAGAACCAGGCTATTTTCAGTTATAATTGCAGATGAACTTGAGCTCTTGTTCTCTGAGAACACTGAGATTTAGGTAGCTGTCTGTCTTTTAGAAGAGGTAGGTGAAAATCTGAAGTGCTTCTAGTATGTTTATAACAGTGGTAGTCACTGAAGGTCTAATTCTTAATTTTTTTCCTTGTGAAGAGCAGTGCTCTGTAATAAAGAACCCCTTTGAAATTGCATTTTGCTTTGATTTTTTGGGAAGCATTTACAATTCAGGATTAATACATGTATCAGAATAATTGTTTCAGGGTATTAGTTTTTTGATTGATTATTTGATTATTTTTTATTTCTTGTGTTAGAACATGTGGTGATGAGAATGTTGCTTTAAATATGTGAGTTATTTAATGCTATCGTAATTAAGAAACAGTTTAGTCTTGCTACTTTGGCTGTAAAGATATTATGGGATCAGCTCTTTAACGCCTTTCTTGGAGCTAATCACATTCTTAAGTGTAATGGCTGTGGAAGTAACGGGAGAAGCTGAGTACGGAACATGGGAAAACAGATCTGTGTGCTGCAGGGGCCCTGCACACCTGCCTTCCCTTCACATTGCTGCTGGGGTATTTTATCATCTCAGGAAGACAGCTTCAACTGCTGTTCCTCTGCCTTGTGGACTTGCTGGCCAGTCTGCAGGGTTCCAGAAAAATTCCAAAGTGTCACTGTAAATGAAGATCCCCTCCCAGTGAATCTCTTCCAACTCCTCCCACTCCATCAGCCCACAGCCCTGAGCCCAGGTCTCCCTTCCATTCTGCTTGGTTTCAAGCTGCTTCTCAGGCCTTGTACTCCAGTCCTGAGCCCTCTCTTCTGCTTTTACATCTGGGCTTTTTCTCTGTACCTGTTCCACACAACACATGCTGGCAAGAGCTAAAGCCTGGAGGCAGTGCTTATCTGAATCAGACTAGGGCTCCACCAGCAGCCTCTCCTGTTTCGTGGTCTGTTTCTCTGTAGGTAAAGGGTGTTGTCATCAGTGTTGGCTCTTTGCTGGCTCCAGATCTATTCCACTGGTGACAGGTTTTAAAAGCTATATTTCTCAATCTCTGGATTGGTTTTAGGAGCCTTTTTTTTTAAGAAAATGCTGTTCAAATTGATTTCCCTCCTCCAGTTACATTGAATCTTTTTGCCCATGCTTTTCTCAACTTTTCATTCTGATGTATGTATTTTAAATGTACTGGTTTTGAATATGACAGTTGGACACTTGGCCTTGTGTAGTCAGAACCAGACCCTAGGAAGGGATTTTAGCATATAATTCCATATTTATATAATATTAAAGGATATGATCTGATAGCACTGTGCTCAGTAGAAAGCCTGGAAGCAGTTGGATCTTGCAAGTGGATATGCATGGACACTCCAGTGCTCCCAAGTTGCCAGTTTTAACACTGGAGTTTATGTACCCTCTTTCGTAAAGGATACACACCGCTTTGGGTTTCTTTTTTGGTTGGTTGTTTTGTTGTTTTTGTTTGTTTTGGTTTTGTGTTTTCTAAAAATTATTTTTATTTTGGGTTAAAAGCTTTATTGAGCTTTAGCAGCAGGAGAAGTGGGAGAGTGTGGCACATAAAAGACAAAAGGCTGTCTTTGCAGTTGTAGTGGATCCAGTGCGGAGAGTGGCTTTCCCAAAGGCTTGATGACATTGTGGTGCCTGATGAAGGGAAGAAGGAGACTGGAGGAAAGTACAAGAGAGATGACAGAGAGGGAGAAAATAAATGCAGCTAAAGCTGGAGGACTGACTGTTTTTGTAACTCAATCAAGTGAAAGCTCAGCTATTCCAGGATACCTCCTCTTCTCAGTCTCTTGGCCTGTCTGGAGATTTGCAAGTAAGATGTCAAAACCAGAATTTTTTAGAAACTTTAGTCTCAACAAGTGGACATTAAAAAGAAGCAGCTCCTTGTGACTACCTTGGTTTTGGTGTGTCTGTGCACAATTGCATGGGAGCCACTAACAGCCTTGTAAGGGGTATTTTCAGAAATTTGTCCTCTTGTAACAGGATTAGTTCTGCTTCATTAATGCAGAAACAGGGCCTGGCATCTAAGGAGGAGAAACTTACTGTTCCTCAATCCTTCAGGAATCTTCAGTGATACTGTCAAACTGAATCTGCATTATGTCCCATACCATCTGGTTGTTACTGTATGAATTACTTGATCAGCCAGAGTCTCTGTAACCAAACTCTATATTCCCTCTGATCTCTAAAGGATGGTAGTTGTGCTGGGTGTGGAACTGTTGCAGTGGAGAGTCCTTCCTTGTGATGAGTCACACTCGAGGAGTATGTACTTGAGACTTGCACACTCTGCTGTCTCTGGAAGAGGCTGTGTCAAGACAAGTGAGTGTGAAAATTCTCTCTCACTGCTCCTCTGGAAAATTTGTTATAAGTAGGAGATTTAAAACCTACTGCTATGCAGCTCCTGGAGAAAGGTAGTTGAAGATAGGCTGTTGGGGTGAGGCAGAAATAAATTTTCATGTTATTTCCTTGTTAAGTCAGCTGAATTCAGCATGAGGAGCTCTGAAAAATCAAGCTGATATGATGAATATTTGAGAGCTAATGTTAGCTCTGTGAATGTTCTAAATGTATCAGGTAGTGCACAAAAGTGAGAAGACGTTATTTTGGTTCAAAGCATAAATTAGAAGGACAGCATCTTCAAGACAAGAGTGTGTCCAGAGACAACAGTAGTGTAGAATTTTTTCCACATTTTAATACAGAAATTATTTTTTCTTTAAGGAAGGAAGATAAGGTAGGAGCAGTCATATTCAGATGCAGAAATGGAAGGAATTTCCAGTATAGTGATATTACTCTGATTTGTGACTAGTCAAGTTTGACAAGGATTTGATGGGCATGGGAGGAAGGTAGAAGCATTTTGCATGAATTCCATGTTGTTTTCCCCAAAAAATCAAAATGGCCAAGCAAAGATTCCTATCTCCAGAACAGCAGCTGGTTCTTTGCTACAGAAACTTAGAATGAAAAAAAATTGGAACCTGCTGCTGCCCTGAGTGATTTTTTTTGGTCTGTTTTCCAGATAGGCAGCAGCCAGCACTTTTGCTTGCTAAAGGAAAGTACATCAGGCCTGTGTGTAACAGCTCCACTTGAGAAGTGTGTGTTAAGAGTGATTCAGCTTCTAAAGTGTGTCACTCTTTGGAACAAATTAGAGTGGGAAACTGAGGATAGAAAGGGGAATCATTCCTTGCTCAATGTCAGTCAAGGTTCTGTGATGCAAGAGAGAATATTTGGCAGTAATTCTCTGTTACTCAGTTTCTGAGTGCTAGTGGGAACTCTTCCAAAATAAATCTAGTCCAATAGTCTAAGCGCCTTATTTTGTAGTTTACTTTCTGTGTGGTTGCTTTTCAATTAGAGTTAATGAATTTCCTACTTCTGTCACAACAGACTTATTTAGAAGAAGACCAAAGAGTTCTAAAGTTTTCAGCAACAAGACACTGCTACTCTATGATCTGTATGGCCCTGTTCACTTGAGTGAATGATCAAGATAAAAGGAAGTTGTTGGAAGGTTCTTGCCTATTTTACTGCTCTAAGTAATGTTAAATGCATTTGAATTTAATTAAAAATGCTGATAGGAATCCTGGCTTGGACCTCTTTGGAGGAGTAGACTGCTGTAAACAGGATAGATGAAAGGAAGAGATCAAATAGAGGAGGTCACCAAATACAGCTGTGTCTGGAACAAAGAGCTGGGTTGGGCCCAGTGCAGGAAAGCCTCATCCTGTCCTTTACAGCACTGTGTTCAAAAGTCATAGAAGAAAAAGCTGGGTATCTTGGCTTTCCTATAGGTGTTTTAGTGGAGACTGTAGAATTTCTATGTAGCTGTTTTCACACTCTCAGAATTAATTATTTTTTTTCCTACGTGCTGCAAAGAAGGAAATACTAGGTTTGCTGAAGATACGGAAATGATGACAATGGTAAACTCCTCAAGGAGTTGGTCTTGCAGAGTAATTGGAGGTGATGGAAAGCATATTAACACTGAGAAAGAAAGTTTTAAGAGAAGGTGGAAAGTAGAGGTAAAAGCTTTTAATTATGTTCAATGCACAGGCATAGTCTAGTCCTATATATACTTCTCTCAATTCCCAGTTAATTTGACATGAATATAAAGCTTGTGTCATACCAGGAATTGTTTATTCTTTGTCTTGTTTCTCCAAACCCCATTCCATTATAATTACTTTTCCACTTTAATTTGTTCCAGTATAATTATTTGTCACTGTCTCTTCTTACATTCAAACATGACTTTAAGAAAATCCAGTCCTACAGAGGACCAGCACAGTTGCTGTTATTTCTAAACCTGTTTTTTTTCTAACCCTGTTGTAACATTTTGTGTTCTTTCTTCAAACAGTAACTCCCATTTAATTTTTCATCTCTTTCCTCACTTTAAGTTGTACCACCTAAAGTAATTCACATTAGAATATTTTGTGCTGATGCTTGAATGTCATCATCAAATTTTACATGGTTTATACTTTCATGAAATGAAAGGCATTGGTCATGGGGAGGCATGTTGCTTGGAAGCATTTTCAGATTGGAGGTTTTAGGCTGTTCCAAAAGTGAAAGCTGTATCAGCTATCTTGAAAATACAAAATCTCACTTTTGGAACAACTCAAAGCATATATATGTACGTAAACCTTGTTAAATGTGGTTTTACATTTTTTGCAGTGGGTAGGTATGTCATAAAGGTCAGAAATGTGTCACAAGGTCTGGACCTAGTTCCTGGGTAAAGTCATTCTAGTCTCTTTAAATTTCACTTGATTTGAGATCATCAGAATTTAACGGATGTCTGACACATCCTGGTTTAATGTCCCAGCCTTCAGACTTGGCTTTTTTAGGTTCAGGACACTGCATGCTGAAGTGCTCCTTTCCTTCTCCCCCAGCCACTTCTGACAGGCTCTTTCACATCAGTAAAATTATTTTTCCCCCTTTCTTTTTTAATTTTCTATTTATTTAATAATCTTGTTTTCTTATTATCTCAAGTCAAGTAATATCTGTACAGTAGATACAAGTGAACTTCTACCTGTTTCAGCTTCACTGAAATACCTTCAATGTACCTTATAAGAACAGTGTAAGGTCTCCTAAGGAATTTCAGCAGCTGTTTGACCATGCAACTGATGTTAGAGGGAAGGACAGGAAAAATACCCTCCCACAGAGGGTGTGGATAACTGGCTAGAAGGTAACAGATGATACATGGCATTGGCTCCAACTCATATGTTTATTTTTACTTCTAATTTGTCATATAAAGTATTAAGTGTTTTTTGATATGAAGCATAACTTGTTAACGACTCTACACCTCCTATTGAGAGTTCATGAGAAGATGTCAGTATGATGACCACATTCTGAAGTAGTGATTTCTGCAAAGTGCTAAATGAATTCACATTGATCTTACAATACTGGAGGATCTATCTTTTGTCATTTGGTACACAGGAGGCCTCTTTCAGCTCCCAGTGGCTTTAACAGAAGGCTGAGCAGGCCCCAGCTATATTACAGACTTGTTTCCATAGGTTCAGTTTACTTTTCTGCTTTTGTTATGTGTCTCCCTGAAACCTGTGTTACTTTGTCTTGTGTACATGCTGGGAGGCTGTACTTCTCATGCCAATGCAGCTCTTGTCCAGGGTATTGACCTTCCTAAAAATTTGTTAGTGGATAGCATGGCCTTCATGGTTAGTTTTTTGTGTCCTCCTTCCCAGCCCCTTCAGAGCCATGTATAGATGATATGGCCATTTTCTTCTTGCTGGGAGCAATTTGGTTTTGGTGTAAAATAAAGGTGAGAATTTTACCGCTGCTCTACTTAGGTTTTTTTTCTTTTTAGGGAAAGAAGTATGCCACAGGTGTAACTTGTTATAGCCTCCATCCCTCTGGACTCCTTGCTCTGAGGTCCTCAGCTTTTCCTTGTCATGGAGTACCTGTTGTACACCTGTGTGTTTGTTGCTTGCCATTAGGCAAGGTCCTCCTGTTGGGGCACTGTCACACCGGGAGGTCTTTGTTCACTGCTAATAACCATACAAGCCCTTGAGAAGGCAAGTCTTGCTTTCTTTCACTGTTGTTCAACTAGATCTTTTTATTTGTAGAAAAATTTAGTGGAAAGCACTGAGAGAGCTGATAGGAAGATACCTGTAGCTCTGAGTGTTCATTGTTCTGTTGTAACACATCTCCGTTTTCAGAGACCTCTGCTTTCTGGCTAAGGTGTAAAGCTCCAAAATGTCAATTCATGGAGCTGGCTGCTACAGGGACACCACATTTAAAGAATTACAATACAAGTAATTTTCCCTTCCCAGACCTTATGAATCACATTCTTTATATAACCATTTGGATCTCATTTCTGTCCCTGCTGAAGAGTCATAGTTTGACAGGAAGAACTTCCACACATAGATTGGTCATCTTTGATCATCTTTGTTCCCTTTCACTGAATCTTTTTCAGTTCTATTCTAGTGGAGGGTATTCAATGTAGTATAGTGATGCTTTAGCCTCTACCCCTTTCCAAATAATCCTGAGCACTCTGTGTACTTCTGCAGGTAAAGTTTCTTCTCTACTACTGAGCAAGAGCTGGGATCTCTATGGAACTGTCTGTTCTAACATTGAGATTTTTCGTCTAGTTGGTAATAATCTGTTTGGGGTCCATCACTGCATATGTGAAGTTGGAGTTGGGTTTGCTGCATGAGGTCCATTTCACTTGCCATTTTGTTATCCAGTCATTTCTTAGCATTTCCCTTGCTGCTACTTTCATATTTTTTATGCTTAGCTGATATACTGTGAACTCATCAGTGAAAACAGATCATAAATAATAACACGATAAGAAAATCTACAGCTCTTCTATCTGGAGTGTAATGTATTATGGATATTGGTCTTCAGTCATTGCTTGTAACAGATGAAATGTAATTTGGTGTAATTCAGTCTAGAGGTTCTCCTAGCATGATGAATGAGGGACATGCCAATGTCTTCTCACCAGGATCTCCAGGTGGAGTTTCCTGTGCACATGGTAACGTATGCATTTTATGTATGTTTGAATATAATTAATTTCTTGTGTAAACTTTAAGATGTATTTTGTAGACATTTGAATACACCTTATTTCTACATGTGACTTTTTTTTATATTTCAGAATTGTTTTGTACCTGTGAGAAGTGGGCAGAAATATTGCTATACATCAGCGGTGCTATCCAAGTGCCAGCTTAATTTCAGCAGAACACCTGGATTTCCTACATGTTCTTATTCCCTGGAAGAGTAATTTAATAGGCTTTTATGACTAAAGGCAAATGTTTAGAAAAACTTCTGCTTATCAAATCGGCTTTTGTCTTCTTGCTGCAACTCAGGTGTAGTGTGTTTGCTGAGACCTCTTTTGATGGATGTCATCCCAAGTATTCGACAGACCAGTGCCTTGGCTCTTGGGAGACTTGGTGATTATGATGTGAAGCTGGCAGAGGCAATTGTGAAGGCAGGCATTCTTCCACAGCTCATATGTTCATTGCCTGAGGAGAATGTAAGGCATGATTGTTCTCTTAAGTAACATTTTTAAAAACTATTATACAGGGAAAGGGAATTCTTTATGTATCAGCATCTGCTGTTATTCTAATAGGACATTAAATGTATTGAAGTCAGAGCTTCATGTAGGTTTGAATCCCTGAGAGATCACTGTGTACTGTATGCCTAAGTTTGACTTCAAATAAGCTTGACTTTAAAATACTGTATTATCCTTTAATGCACTATAGGAAATACGTTCATTGCACTGTAACATTTTTAAAATGTTGAGTGATACTTTGTAAAAGGTCCCCCTTCAAAAAGGAGACAGTTTGGAGGCTGTGGTGATAATTGACTAGGTTTTGTCTGTAATACCAGGCACGTGTAAAATACATATAAAACCCCTGAATTCTGTACAGAAATACTTAGTATCTCCAAACACAGGCCTATGAAAATCTGTAGCATGAGAAAAAAAAAAATTCTGACACAGGAAAATATATGGAAAGGTTTTCATCTTCATATATGTCAAAACCAAGCAAAGTACAGTCACAACTGCAATGCAAATAAATCTGTTGGTCTCTTTCACTCCCTTCCTCATCTTTTCCTTCAAGATCTCTGTCTCTTTCAGCTTTTATTTTTCGAATGATGCTAGCCTAGATTAACAAAAATACCTTCATGTAATGTTCCTAATAGCTAGAAACTGACAGCTGAAGAGTTTAGTGCACTGATATCACAACCATACTTACGTTGCAGCTTTGACTTAAGAAAAGTAGATTTTCAATGGAAATATAATTTGGAAAACCATGTATTTTCATTTTCAACCTTTTGAGGAAAACAAAGATGTAAATGTACTCATTGCATATATTTTTGTGCCTATGGAATCATTGGCTATACAAGTAAAATTGAAAAAGAAAACGTTAAAGAAAAAGTTTGATGGCAAGATACTGGTGTAGTATGAAAAGAACATAAAGATTTTAATTAGACAAGGTTATAAACATTTTGGTTATTTTATTTCTATTTTAAGGGAAGATGTGGTACAAAACTCTACCCACTGTTGGTTTGGAAACTATCCCCCTGCTACATTAGCACCCCCCCACTAAATTAGCTCAAGTACCCTGAGATAGAGTAATTAGGGGAAGCAAATGCAGGACTTGTGGAAGGTCATGGAAATGCCTTGGTGACTGAGGGCAAGTGAAGGAAACTCATGCAGTTCATGCAGAGTTTAGCAAGCAGACAGTTTGTCACTTCCCACAGGCAAAAAAGCCTTTTCCATTCCACTCACTTTTAGTGTATCAACATCTGTATTTAAGGATGAGATTCTTTGAGCACACAGTGAATACTATTTCTACTGATTTATGGGAACAGTCACAGGGTAACATCCCAGATCAATGTTTTATCAATTAAATGAAGCAAAATTCAGTTTTACAGCATATTCTGACTATGCCTGTGAATGTGATCTGTTTGAAAAGAATGTGTTTTGAATAATGAAAACAAAGAAGTGTTTTTCTTTGCCAGGGGCATAATTAATTAGTAGAAACAACATACCCATATTTGTACAGACATAGACTTAAGTAAACATATATGGCTCCATTGAGTTCAGCAAAACTTACAGTAACTTACATTATCTAAGGATTTGACCTGACCTAAGCATTTGTCTGTACTGTTTCCCTTAAATTCTGTTCCCCCTAAATGAAGTCTAATGCTTTGCTTGTAAATGATGTTTAATGTACCTGCATGTAGACCTTAACTTAGAAAACTGGATTTTTGACATAAAGGAATTTTATCAGTACTGGTAAACTAAGGAAGGTAAGGGCATGTGTTGGAGCACTGAAAGATGACTGTGCTCGTTAATCAGTAGCATGCTCTCTGATGTGGTTTTAGCCAATGCCAGCATCAAACTACTCAACAATGCTTGGACATTGCTTAAGGGGTAGCACAAGTCAGGAACAGGTTCCAGTAGCATAGATAAGGCCATCGTGCTTTGAGGAAAGAGTAGTTTAGGTGGATGGATGTGTTATGCTGTGTCACCTTCCTTTAGGGCCAGGGAATGGGCCTGGGTACATTTTATTTCCTGGGGGCCATTGCAGATACTGTTCTCTTGCCATATCTTAGTGCTTTAGATGAGGGTTTTGAAGGTGTTTGGGTACCTTACAGGATGCACAAAAGCACTCGCGTGGTTCTTTGTTTTTCTGGACTTGATCCAGAAGGGATGTGGGCTTTGCATTGTTTAAATATTGGGTACCTTGAGAGCAGGTCTAGCACTGTAGAGTGCCTAGGTTCCCTGTTCAGAGCAGAGTTGAATCAAGCATCTTGGGATGAGATCAAAGCCAGCTGGCATACAGAGAGAGCCCTCTAGAGCTTGTCCATGGTGGTCATCTGTCAGTGCCCAGGCTGGAGGGCATACTCCAGGCATATAGGCATACCAGCAGGTTACTTCTGCCCCCATGAATCTTGCCTTTCATGAGGGAGGGGGACTGTCCTTATCACAACATGGTTTTCTCTGGCCAGAGTACTTTAAGTGGGATCTGTATTTTGAAAATGTAAGGCAGTAGAATAAACTTAATGGTCAGCTTCCATATACTAGTGGCAGTTATAGAACTGCAGGAGGAGGCTGAAATGTGACTTTGAGGGAAGACTTAACTCTGCTTTTAGAAGAAATCACTGCTGAAGTTTATGTGTGAACCCCACGCTGTGTGTAGTGTCATGTATTATATATACATACTGAAAACAATATTTGGTCCAGCACTGAGGGAGATGGGCAGAACTGAGACGGGAGGTAAGACTTCATGTGCTCTTATGACAAAAGGGCCAGGGTGCTTAGTCCTATTCAAAGTGAGCTTTTTCTGGGCACAGGCAGGAGTAAAATTGGAGGCTACTTGGTCAAAATGGAGGGTTATTCAGTATCAGGTGTTGGTGTGATGGGTTTTCAGTATCCTAGCTGTGGGTTTTAGGCAGTATTTAGCCATTTCAGGATTCAGATGCTAAACTCTTTTATTTGATCTAATTCTCTCTGTCTCAGTTTCCTGTTTGCTAATGGAAGCAGTGTTTTCTCATAGAGATGTTGTGAGGGTATCTATTTTAGAAAGTGTAAAACCTTGCAAGTGTTACAGATGGATAAAATTATTTTAGGAGCTTGCCCTGCATAACATGTGTAATCTGGTTTAATATGTTAAGAATTAATTTTTGCAGCTCTTGTTGTTCACTATTCACTTAAACAAACAGACTTACCTAGACTACTGTCTTTTTCCCATATCCTCTTAGTTCTCTCATTTTTTCTGTTTGTTTATGCACTTGCTGTAGATTTCATATGATGAGCTGTCCCAAAGAACTGTAAGTTCATTGTTTGTGTGGTGTCTAGTGGTCCTGATTTGGATCTGTATTGAGATATTGCTGCTACTAAAAAAGTCTAATTTAGGCATGTCTGTATTATATTATGCTTTGAACTTCTTAATGTTAGTGAAAGTTTGTTTGTTTCTGATTTGTCTAGCGTTACTACAAGAAAACAGCTGCATTTGTGCTAAGAGCAATTGCTAAACATTCTCCACAACTAGCTCAGGCAATAGTTCAATGTGGAGCACTGGAAATGCTGGTGATTTGCTTGGAAGATTTTGACCCTGGAGTCAAAGAAGGTGCATCTTGGGCATTGGGGTATATTGCCCGACACAATCCAGGTAACAAGTTTCATGTGTATAATCTTTTAGCTTAATGTCATGTGATAATAATAATAATAAATGGTGTTATTTTGGTAAATAGAACAAGATGCTTTTTATTCTCTAATGTTACAAAATTTTAAATTTTGGATAAAACCCTAGTGTAACTGTACCATTCCAACAATGCTGTACCTTTTTGTGGGAAACTGGCATACCTGACACCAGCAGTGCCCAGGTATGAGGGGTGATTTAAGAGATGTGTTTCGCCCGTTGCCAGAAAAGGACACTCTACTTTATTCCTCTTCATGAAGAGATTTCTGAATCTTTATATATTGTGTAGGTGTTACAGCAGAACCAGGTTTCTTTCGCTCAGCATTAGTTCTTCTTTTATATACACAGTTGAATGGAGAAGCCTAGGGAGAAGCAAGTTTCATGCAGCTTACAGTAGTGTTTGCAGGATAAACAGGCCAAATTTATTGCACTATGTTATCATTAGCCAGTGGACCACACTACCCTCTGAGAGTCAGGAATAGGTCATAGGAATCCAATATTGAGTAGTTCACTGCTGTCTCACAGGCAGTTGTATAACTCACTGGTGGTGTCATGTTCCTATTTAAAAGTTGATCCACGTAGTTGATAGTTCTTTTACCAGCTCTTTATATAGTTCAAGTAAAAGTTTAGACTGTGAATGAAAGAACTGAGGGAAGAGAGTGCTAGCTTGAAGGGTTTGGAGAAATGGTTAGTGTTCATATTGTTCAAAGTTAAACTAATTTTACTGTCATAACATTAACTTATGGTTTTGGCTCTAAAATGTACATAGACTGATTCTGGAAATGATTTTCTTTGTTTTTTAATCAATACGAAATATTGGACTGCAGAAGGCATGGGGGATTCCCCTTTCCCACTTAGAGGGTTAGCTTACTGGGAGAGTCTCCAAACTTGTTAGCACCTTTTTAACAGACTGCATTTTCTGGGGAGCAAATTAATTCTTGGGACACCTCTGTGGTAATGATCTTACATCATATGGTCATCAGGATTGAATTCCACTCTTGGTGAATAATAATTGTTCCTTCCATCTGAAGGGTATTTATTTAAATATCAAAAGCGTTCATTTGTATAAATGTGTGTAGTGTGTGTGTCTGTGTTACTCTTAACATAAACATTTCTGCAGTTTTGTTATGTCATTAAATCAATATTGAGTCCCTTCAATTGCCCTTCATGCTATTCACTGCATGAATGCTGGCTGAGCTTTAGGGTGATCCAGTTCACTCTCTGACAGCATTGTCTGCAAAGATGGAGGTGATGTGGGGCTATCGAAGACAACAAATTCCTTGTACAAATTTTTATTCCATGGTTATGAATAATTTATTCGCTGATGGTGAATGGGTGCATACCTTATGTCAATTTACAACGACAATAAGAACAGCAGCCTCAGAAATTAGGTTGAAATTGTGAGTGCTACCAAGCTGCAAGCATCAGGACACAGACAGATCACTAGGTGTAATCAGTAAAAACCCCTGAATGCCAACAAAAGCCCACCAAAAGATCCCTTAAAAAAATGCCCAGCTACAGCCAATTTAGGGGGATTTACCTGCCTCTATAACACAGTCACAGGACGTCTCTAAAATCATTATTTAAAGTAAAGGAGTTATACTGAAAAAAGATCATTTTATGCATCATTGTTTCTTACACTGGTACAAACATGCCTTTGCAACATGATGTTTTTGGAGATGTGATACAAAGATAGAAGACTTCTTCTTGTCAATAGCTGGTGTTTACTGTTCAAGAAACTCTGGATTAGACTGACATGCTCCTGTTGACAAAATTTGCTGGTTATGATTTTCTGTCATTGACTTTCTGTAGACACATAATGCAGCTTTACCTTTAAAAATAAAGCTGGGTGTGAAATAGTTTCCCCCAGCCACAAAAGGTTTTTCAGTTTCAAAAATTGTTACAGCTCTGAACTGGGACAATATTAAGACAAGACTTTTTCTCTCTCCTGAAAAGATTGGGGGTAGAGAGATTTGTTTGCCCCAGCAAGAAAAGTTCAATAATTAGGCTATATCTCTGGGATTAAAGTCCTGATCTGTTTTAGGCAGGATGTGAACCTCTGTCTTCATGAGTGCAGTCTAAGTCTCCTGGCATTCAGTGATAACTGCAATGGTGAGGGTCTCTGCTTTTGAACAGAAATTGCATCCATGACCCAGCAAAGCTACTAAGAACTGCAGTGTGTGTTCCCATGAAAAGACTTCCATTTTGGGAAATTGAAGCTTCCCCCTCCTTCCCCGTGATGAAAACACTCTGCTTAGCAAGTTCCATACTGACTTCATACAAAAATCTCTTAAAATGCAGATCTTCTGTGGACAGATGTCGCCAGAAGGCCTGTGAGACTTTAGGTCAAGACAAATGTCTCATGTTGTTTCAAGATGCTAGAAATCTTGCCAGGTCAGATTCCAAAATTTAGAAAGTGCTTTTGCAGTTCTGTTCTTTTTTCCCCTTTGAGCTGAATTTCAGATACTGATTTTACTCCAAAGTGTACAAATCAGTGTGCTGTGATTTTGCCATTCATTATTTCTACTAATTGCATTTAAAAAGAACTGTAAATGTTTCAAATACCACAAATGCCATCAGGTCCATGAGAAATATTTTGTAACATTTTATTTATATTCATTTAAAGTGCAAAATTGTTTTCTTTGAAGTATACAGATAATTTGGCTTTCCATTTTCTTTGTCTGCATTAAAAGTGTAATTTATTAATTGTCTCATACTTGAGTCTGACCTCCATCCTCCTGATGAAAGGTTTTCCCACTGGTTCCAGGAATCTTCAGTGCTGTGGTTGTAGTGGCCTGCATAAACCTCTGATTTTGAAGTGCAGCCTTTGGGCTACTTGAATTAGTCTTTCTATGTGGCCATAAGGTGATCACACATTCCTCAGAAAAATACAGTATTGGTGGTTGTTTCAGTCAAAACCTGTTGTTTTCCATGGATGCAGCAGCTACCACAGCAAGGTCTGTTTGAGAGCCCTGATCTGAACTGAAACTTGCATTTCCTTCCAACCAGGGGTTTTGCTGCTGCTCTGCCATGGGGATATAATATTGTATATTATCAATATAATATTGAACTGATTTTCTTTCTCTGGGGACAACCTGGACATTCACTTTCTCACCTTCATCTTTTTTGTCTTCATCTGTTTTTTTTAATCCATACTATTATTGCCAATGTGTTAATATTAATAGGGTTTGTTTTTTTTTCTTAACACCTTAAACTAGTTTAGAATAATCCTGTAAGACTTCCCATTGTTTTCAGTGGATATGTAGGTAGGATCTTGAATCCACTTTGTTGGCTTTCCGCTCTTTCTGATGACATAAACCCATGATGAGTCTTCAACTTACTTTGAATTAATGTTTTCATCCCTGATGAGTACTTTTCTATCAAGACAAACCAGCGCAACTCTGGTACAACTTGTAGAAGTTGTACTAGAAGGCACCTCAGACTCCAAAATCTGTCTTTGTTAGTCTTTCTTCTACATCCATTTGAGTCTTGTCTGCAGTATCTCCACTTGCTAAAATCTTCCTCATGTAGATCTGGTGAAAGCAATTAATTTATGGTCAGTTTTGAGCCACAGTTCTCTTGTGTCTGAACATATGGAGTTCAATCTCCTACTTCCATTCACACAGGCAGAAGTTCAAATTCATCATCATGTACTTGGACAAGTTCCTTCCGTTGTACCCCAATGTGAGTTCCAAGCCTGTGGTTTTCATAACCTTCTGTGGAATTAAATGAATTTCATAAATTAGCTTTTCTCTGCTGTCTCTCTCCTCTGCAGGTATGGGTCTTGTCTTTACCCTTATAATACAGCCTTTGTGTAGTATTTGGAAGAGTATTTTTGTCATTTGTTTCAGTTATTTTAATTTTTCTGACAGAATATTTGGTTTTAAAAATTTTTTATTTCCAAGTTTGTTTTTGCCTCCATCTCTTCCTCAGTCCATTTTTTTTCCCACCATTGTCTGTGTTTCTAATTGGATGGCAAAGTTTCATGAATCCTTTGGTGTATAATCTGCATTAAAGATGTTCTACAAGTAGGAAGGTTAACTGAGTCTTTTTTTGAGGGAAAAAAAAAACCAACCTACAATTTATAATAGAATCATTAATACTTAGGATTGTAATTTTGGGCTGAATATGCAGAGAAACACAATGGGAAATACTGTATTTCCTTTCTTCCCTGCCTCAGCTTTTCTGTTTTTCTGACAGTCCAGTTATTACTTGTCTCTCTTGACACATGGTCCAGCCCTCCATGTGGTAAGTTATTAGCCATGAACCTTATAAACACCAGTGGAAGAAAAACCATTTAATTACCCATGACCGACAGTAACCATCAGTATTTAAATGATATCAGACTTCTAACAGCAAGAGCTGATCTAAATTGAATCAGATTTAGTTTGCTCTTTTGAAATAACTTTTACGGTTACTTAGGAAGCCTGAGTGTAGCTGTGACCTGAAAGTACTGCTCTTTCTCTCCCTGCTTGAACTTCATGATTTTAGCTCATAAAACGTCAAAGAAGCCCATTCTTCTAGCACCTTGTCCCTCTTGACATCAGTTTCTTGATATTAGCATTTCCCAGCAGACTGGGGGCAAGGAGCTGGTTGAAGTTCTGAGGCACAGTTGGAGGAGTTAATCTGGACTGTTGGTCTGTAGATCACCATGTATTCCACTTGCTCAGTGCACAGCAGCAAAACACAATCTGAGGAAACCCAGCATGGCTTTCTCCACGAAAAGCTGACTGTAGCTTGTACCACTTATATTGATCAGTTCCTTTTCAGATTTTTTACATACATCTCAGGTACATTTTACTTCAGATTTTTAAAACTGAAGATACAGCATTTGAGTTTTCCTGAAATCTTATGATCTGTGTATTTTGAGGATGCATGCACTACATGTTCAGTCAAATATTTATTTGAAAAATGAACTTTGTAGAATTAATTTTACAGATTCACAGAATGTTCTGAATTGGAAGGGACCCACAAGGATTGTCAAATCCAACTCTTAAGTAAAAGGCCTGTACAGGGGTTGAACCCACAACTTTGCTGTTATTAGCACTATGCTCTAGCCAACTAAGCTAATTTCAGGGTATTGTATTAGTTTAAAAATTACTGCACAATTTATTTTTTTTATGTAATATTTGTATTTTCTTTAGAATATTGTATCATAAAGTAACATACAATGTAAATATTTGACTTATCACATGTATTGCAGTGTGTGACTATAACTCACTAATTGAAAACAAATCTGGTTTGGAACATTATTTGGATATTAACAACGTAATGATGACATGACGTACAGATTTCATGAAAAACTATATTAGTCTATGTATATTTAATGAAGTATGCTGTATTTTTCTTAGTATGAAAATCTCTTTATGGATGGACTATAAATCAAAAGCTAAGTTAGTCTTGAAATACAACAGCCATATGTTGCCATGGCACTGTAAGTCAAGATAAATGTTAAAGATAATAATGGATATGCATAATAAGGTGTAGCAAAACTGAACGAAGAACGTAATAGATTATTGAATCCCCTGTGGTTTTTACCACTTTTTCAACACTATTTTAAAATAGCACAGCTTGGTTATAATATAAATTTTGCTTCTGATATCCCGTAATTCTCATTTTAGGACTGTGATTAATGCTGCATACTCACAGAGAGCTAATGAATTTCTAATAGTGTAATTTTTGTCCATGTCAGCTAATCACATGCTCAGATTTTTTTTTTTTTTTTGTTTAAGGTGCAGTTAGTTAAAGATATTGTGCTAATCTCAGACACACAATACCACTGATGATATTTCTCATTTGTATGATTGTGTATAATAATATTTTCTTGTCATTTAAGTATAAATTCTGTCTCATCCGATGCACGGTAGCAAAGACTAGTTTTGATCAGCAAGTTCTATTTTTACAATCTTTTATGTAAGAGAAGTCTTTTATGTATGTTTTTTGTATTTTTGTTTTTGGCATTTGATCTATGCTAATATCTGCTTATCATTTAAAGAGGGTAAAATGCTCTCTAATTAGCTGGTTGATAAAATTTTGGTACTTTGGCTTTCTGTGTTGTTGTTAGCCATGCATAAAATGCTTTCCTATTGATCAGTGTAGAATAGCCAGGGTTTAAACAGCTGACATCTGCTTACTTTAAAAAAAGAAAAAGAAAACAGAATAACAAACCATTTCAGCCTAATCTACCTCAAATGTGTGCATGTAAATGGGGGTCCATCTATTGACCTGCATTCTTTTCAGTTGTGGATTGGTCCACACGGTTTATGAAACCAGGAGGGCTGATTTGAAATGCAGATGTCGAGACAGTGAACTACACCCTCCCCTTTTTCCTTTGCTGTATCTGTCAGGGTGAAAAATGGCTTGCACAAGGGTCAGTCACCCATACTCACTTAATTACTTTCCTTGGACCTACAGAACTGTCACAAGCTGTGGTGGATGCAGGCGCTGTTCCTCTTTTAGTGCTCTGTATCCAGGAGCCAGAAATTGCTTTGAAAAGGATTGCTGCTTCAACTCTCAGTGATATTTCAAAGCATTCTCCAGAGTTAGCACAGACAGTAGTGGATGCAGGAGCTATCGCTCACTTAGCTCAGATGATCTCGAACCCTGATGCTAAACTGAAGGTACATTTAATTTTTTTTTTAATCTCCATTATACCAGTCATTACTTGAGGTTGTATCAAAGACATGGATGTGCATATTTATTTGGAAGCTCTTGGTTTGGGTGTTAACAAAATGTAACTATGTAGTTAGTGACAAAGATTTCGGAACATATTTACAAATTTAGCCACTGGATATAAACTGCAGCTCTGTGAAGAACAGCTAATCTAATCTTTTAAGTGAGTAGTATGGGGTTTTTTTAGAAAGATATACTGTATGAAGAATGCAACAGATACTTGTAATAGATAAAGTTTGCACCTTTCAGTTACAAAAAAGATTTTGCATACTAAAGATTATACGATAAGCCAGTTAATAGTGAACTTATTGTATTTTTGAATGTGCTATCTGATGTGAATAGCTGTTGTCAAAGGTTTAATCACCAGCGTTTAATTGACAAAAAAATTGTCTCTTATTATAAATTCTCTGTCTTACTCTACCAAACAGAAGACAACATAAAAATGCCACAAAAATTTCTTAATATAAGATCTGACATATTCAATTTATGTAAATAAAAATACTTTCTATAGATTTTACTAATTTTTAAATTACTGTTTTAAATGGTGTGTATATATATTTTCTTTTTTAATACGTACAAGCTTGAATGGGATAAAACAAAAGAGAAACTTTTATTCAGGAACCAGCGAATGTTCTGTGCCATTATATTTGTGCATGAATTGACTCAGTGAATTGTAAAATAGCTGTAATTGTTTTCCCTATCCTGCTTTGTTTTCCTTGATGCAATAGATTTTTGTGTGCAGGGGGAGTGTGTGTTGTGGGATGTTTGTATACTATTGATTTTATAACAATTTTTATTTACTAGCGTCAGGTGCTGTCAGCTCTAAGCCAAATAGCAAAGCATTCAGTGGATCTTGCAGAGTTGGTGGTTGAAGCAGAAATTTTCCCAGTTGTGCTCACATGCCTGACGGACTCAGATGAATATGTCAAGAAAAATGGTGCAACTTTAATTAGAGAGATAGCAAAGCATACGCCTGAGGTAAAACCTTGAAAATGCAAATACAAGGTCATATCATTAGATTTTACACTTTAAATAAAATACAGGATTATTCTGTCATTTGCTTTTAGAAAGGGAGGGCAATTGGCTGTTTGGCATGTTCATTGGAAAATATGGAAATGCTTGCTGATATTATGAGATGTGTATTGAATATGAATTGGGTTAGGAAACTGGGAATCATAAAATGTATACCTAGCTACTTCATTCTATGAGATATCAGCACAGAGAGGGAGGTCTTGGCTGACAGTACTGTCAGTCCTAGATATTAAAAATATTATGAGAAAAGCCTCACAGAAGTCATGATACCAGCTAATAAATTGCAAGATCATCCTTTAACAATAATAGACAGCGTGTATCTTTTTAAAAATCTTCAGGGGTGCTGGGATCACATTTTAATTATTTTTCCAATGACAGCAAAGGTCAAAAATTCTCTTATTTATTATTAACCTGATGGTAACTTGAGTTTGTAATTTGAGTTTGAGCATTTACAGTGTTTTTGCCCATAGGAAGGTGGGGATGTTTGGCAAAGTCAATACAAAATAATAGGAAAACCATATAATTACAACTATGTTAATCTGCCAGACCACAGAGATAATTAAAAGGCTCTAAATATGACTTTGGAATGAAATATAAGCCATGTATTTGTGGAACACACTAATGCTGAGCATAGTAATTTCAAAATCACGATACTAACAACTGAGAAGTGCTTAAACATGAATGTTGTGCAGTTTCTTCAGCCTGCCAGTCTTTAAGCTGGTGATAAAAGTTTACAGTCTTGGCTCATTTCCTGCTTTCTCTCTGTACCTCATGGGCAATGCAACTTCACATCCTCAAAAAAGTAAAGAGATTATCATTATCAAAGAGGGACCCTAGAGTCAGAAGCCAGAGACCAAACTCAGGATTACAGGTAAAGTCAGAAGAGCTGCTGGCACCAGATCCTCCATGCAAGAGGGACTGGCCATGCTAGCAACTCTCCAAAGGAGCAGTAGGAAGTATCTTGGTGACTCCCAATGGGAAGTCACAATCCATGTCTGATTTCAGAGTGACAGAGATGTCTGTCCAGCTCTGGGAACTCTATTCAAGCAACACACGTTGCAGCAGAGACAGGCTGGCAAATGGTATTTCTAGAGGATTTGGCTGTGCCATTTGAGACTGATGGCTTTTGGATCTCAGCTCTCTATCTGCATATGCAGAAAAATTGATGTGAAGGTCAGCAGCAGAGGGACTTAGAGCAAGGGCTGAGGGACATGGCAGGAGCTCTGCACATCCAGGTGCACATGGCTGTGTCCAGACGTAGGACTTGGTTTCCACTGGCTCTAATTCACAGTCATGAATAGATTTTCCTAAGTACTAACTGAAAATTTTATCTGGTTGTTTCGTGAAGAAAACAATCCCCTTTTAAAGGCTTTAAGACAGAGTTGGATTTCATATTTATAGAAGTCAACTGGATTGGGAATTCACATGCCTCAGTTTTGTTCATTTTATTTTGAGTTTTAAGAACATGTTCCTTTTGCTTTGGAATCTGTAGGGAGAATGGGATATACCTAAAAATGTGGAAGAAAATAATAATAGTAATAATATTGAATAGTTTACTATTCATTATTGATGTCATACATATTCTACTACTGTCCCTCAAGTGATGTGAGAAGTTTGCTTTTGGTAGAAACCCAAGTTGCATAGCTTGATTGTCATTTATAAGCAAGGCTATGTAATTTGGTATTCTGGGCAGACTCCATTACCCATCAAGTGTGTTCCCTGGACACTTCCCTCAGAGCATGCTAACATGGCAGAATGGTCCAGCCCAAGTCAGTTTTGCACATCCAGAACGGTTGTCCTTGGCTTCATGCCTCAGCATGAGGATCCACAAAGGATTTTATGCCACAGAGGTAATTTAGAATGCAGATGGGAGGAGGAATGGGCCTTTCCCTCTGTCACTGCACAGAACATAGGATGTTAGTTTAGGAGTGAGGGTGAAAACAGTATCTAGGGTGAAACAGTATCTGTCTCAGTAGGTGCATCTTCAAGATCAGTCATGTGATAGGCTGTCACTGGCACATTTCTCTGGTGTGTGATGATGGAGTTGAGAATATGTCATTCCATGCTATACGGCATCAAGGATTCAGAGTCCTGCTTTCCTTGCAGTAAAGTCAATCAAAAACACAGCAGCAAATTATCTTCATTCCTGAGAACTTGATGCTGCACTTAGTTCCCAACAGTCTGTATGATACATCACTCTTATTCCAACTTTATTTTGTTAAACAGGAGCAATACATTAAAAGGCTTCTCTGATGTGGTACTTTATGCCTGTTGATACTTCACAGTATCTAATCTCTTCTGTTTATCTTTTCAGCTTTCACAGTTTATAGTAAATTCAGGTGGAGTTGCTGCTGTGATTGATTGTATTGGCAGCTGCAAAGGGACTGTCAGACTGCCTGGCATCATGACACTTGGTTATGTGGCAGCTCATTCGGAGAACCTGTCAATGGCAGTGATTGTCTCCAAGGTTAGCTATCACTTTGTTGTCTTCCTGTAGTTCTTCTGCAGTATTCTTTGGTACAGATACAAATTAACATAGGCAGAGAATGTATTTTGTGACAGGATTATATACTTGCTCTCTATGAATGCACTTTCTCATAGTATTGATGCTTTCTGTGACCGAAATTATGTGGCAGCCTGATAAAAGGGTGTCTTTATGGTGTTGAACCTTTTACAAAACATCCTGGATTAGTTGGTATTACAGTGCATGATTCTTCTGTGTTGCAATTGCATGGGTACACAAAATAAGTCACTGAATTTCTGTAGTCTGATTACTCTTAAAATGTGTATTTGTGGTTGCATCTAAAGCTTTTTTGAAACATTTATGCTTAATGGCGTGTTCTTCACTGTACTAGTGTGACTCTGCTAGTACTGCTAGAGTATCTTGTAACAGCAATCTTCAGGCTTGAAGAGATCTCAGTTTCCAATGTAGTGTGGTTTGATTCAGTTGTGCAAGTGACATTTCAAATAAGTAAAGTTATGCATTTTCAGGTTTAAATAAATTCTGCTGGGCAATGATATAGAAGAGGAATAATTTGCAATGTTTGCAATAGGTGAAATTAGTGCCTGGTTTAGTAGTCTGATGTGAATAATGCTAACTAATGATAGAAGAAAGCAATTTCACTAACATTTTTGACCCATTTTCACACTATGTCAGTCATTTAAAACATTATATGAGTGGAAAAACAAAACAATATAAACAAAGGAACAGAAATGTCTTCTAGTAGAAATGCAAGTTGAAAAATGGAAGTTGGTACAACATAATATAATATGCAGGGAAAAGAGGAGTGATCAAAAAATGCTCTTCTGTATTTTAAAACTAAAGAAATATATGCTTTTTTCTTGCCATCTCTGGAGGCCCTTCTTCTCTGGATATCTGTGTCTTTCCACTTTCACAGATGCCTAGAGCAAATATGCTCCTGCTGTTGAGTGCTTGACATTAAGTGGGATGAAACCAGGATTAAGTTCTGGAGGAAGTCCCTAAATTAGATTTTTGAAGAATAATAATAATTCCTATCATAACTGAATGGAACTGCTGTGAGAGCTGTTGTAGGGATCTGGACAAACTTTGATGAAATTAAATATATTAATGAATGATCCACAAAAGAAATAACAATAAACCTGAATAAACCCAAAATCCATTTAAAAAAACCCAAACTGCTTCAGGGGAAATTAAGCTTCTGGAGTGGTATGTATACTGAGGATGAGACTTGGTAAACTGGAACCATTTGAAAGAAATGCACTGTGGCATAACCACGTGCAATTAGACACTGATGATATTATGATATAAAGTGATAGTTCCATTCCATAGTACTCTAACCTGGAAATGATGAATTTTGAACAAGATTTTTGGGATCATACTGGACAAACACTTCATTGTGATTTTTTGCTCTAATGCAGTGGCAAAACCTGCCACAGTTTAGTCCTTTGTGGTATTAAAGAATAGAAGATGAAGCATTACTGGAAAAGAGAAGTTCATCTATTTGTTGTAGTAATATATATAGTTCCACTGTCTTTGTTGAAAAGTATCTTGGGGAAAAAAACCAAAACAACAAAGCAGAAAACTGTGCATAAAAGAGTAAAGAAAGATTCATGGGATGGAGAAAAAGGTTTTTGGGAGAGAGGTTTAGTAGCCTTGTCTTACCTAAAGTAGCATGAAATGTTTCCTGATGGAGTGTTTGGCATAAAATACCAGCTAATAAGTAGTTGTGGAGAAAGTATAAAGACCCTGAACCAGAACAACTTTAGTAACAGCTGGATGTGAGATCTCCATCTCTTGATGTCTGCAAATCAAGAGTTGAAACCCTTCTTGAAGTGTTTGGGTGAGTCAAACATGAACTACTGGACTCAAAAAGAGGTTGATAAGTTGAAATTTAGTGCTGTGGATAGTAAAAAAGAAAGACTCAGTGATTGAGCCCTTCTGGTCTTAAACTGATTTCATAGAATCATAAACACTCAAATTCTTTTATTTTCAGTTTGAGAAGAACTGCCACCTTTACTCAGTACAGCCTGAATTATGTTGTGTATTCTTTTTAGACCTTAAATTTGCATGCTTGTTCAAACTGCTTTCTGACTTAGAACATTGAATCTGTTTCTTTTTAACTATATTTTTTAAGATTTATTAAAAATTCTTGCTAATCATGATGCTGTAAAAATATGGCATCACTAGCATGCATTCTCTTACAGCTTTTTTTAGAAGAAGAGTGTAAATAGAGAAACATTTTCTAACTATCTGTATCTGTTTCACATTCCCTGGTCTACATTTGTAAAGGCTGTGCTTTTGATTAATGCTACAGGGAATACCACCACTGTGTGTCTGCTTGATAGAAGAACATGAAGATCATATTAAGGCAGCAGCTGCTTGGGCCTTGGGACAGATTGGAAGACACAGTGCTGAGCACGCACGTCATGTTGCAGTAGCAAACGTGCTGCCCACGCTGCTCGATGTCTTTATGGACACACACAGCTCAGAAGATCTTAAAATGAAAGCAAGTAGATTTGTAGTATTTGCAGTATGGTGTATTAATTGTAATCAGGAGGTTTAAGTGCTTAAGAACTACTAAATGATATGTGTTTTTATTGATGCTCACTGAGTCACAGCTTGCCTGGGTGCAGAGTATCTGAAGGCTGTGTCATTTAGTAGGGGACTGGCTGGTCCTAATACATGTGCATATGGTATATACCAAATCATATGCTGTAGCCACCACAGTCTAATCCCTTACTTTTTTCCAGTTTAGATCAGAGTTGCATAGACCCATAAATGTTGTAATTTCTTGTGACTCATCTCTAATTATCCATTTCTGTTTTTGCAAGTATAAGCTCTTGTAGAAAATGTTACAGTCCTTGTAATAATTTTGCCTACATTTTTATTATTATAATTAAACTGTAACTGCTAATCAAGGCTCTGCTCTTTAAAACATGCAACGTTTAGGGCCTTTCCTTGTGTGAGAGCTTGCAGAGTTGTAGTTCAGTAAAGTGTATTTCTGAGCAACAGTAAGTGAGCCAACAGAAGAGTGTAATAGGACAGGATATGATCTCCCATGTTGTACTATGCTTCTGTACATTCCACTGAAATACCACATTCCAGATCTGTAAAGTAACTTTTATATAGTAATTTCCCAAAAATGTTGAAGCCAAATTAGCTGTACCTGTAATCCTGCCCAAGAAGGTCACTACTACGTATCCATCAAGGCTGAGTTTGTTTTCAGAAATATGCACCAATGCAAAATTGCTTCACTCTCTCTTTTCCCCCCTGCCTGGACAGTACTGCACTTTGCTATCCCAGACCAGCAGCCTCTCCTAGTAAGCCACTTCTAAAATACAATCTTTTAAAATGTGTTTTGATTTAACTTTCTTATTATATTAGAGTACTTCAATTTACCTGAAGGGTCTACTCCAGCTTTCATTATAGTCAAAGGAAGATTGCCATTACTTTGACCGTAGATAACATAATAATAATAATAATATGATGTGCTGTAGGTTTTGAGATTTAATAATTCTAAGTAAAAAATTGATTCTTCATTAAGTGACCTGATAGATATCATAGTTGCTATTCAGAAATTGCTCATTGAAAATTCTGATCAATTTTCTTTTTTGATCAGACTTCAGTGATATATATGAATTCTTGTTGTTTTCATTGATATCTTACTAGTGAAAGTTTATTTTTCATTTCAATAGACTAAGAAAGCTTTAAAGAACATTCTTCAGAAATGCACGCATTTTCCAGCACTTGAACCACTGCTTCATGACGCCCCTCCCAGTATTATGAAGTATATTATTGGGCAGTTTAGTAAGGTAAGAAAAAACTCTGCTTGGTGAGTAATATATTAATTGCTAATTGTTTCCCATACAGCAAGGAAACTATCTTTCCAAAGAAGAAGTCACTGTAAAGGTGTGTCATTGTTTTCTCAGGATCCCCAAGCATCCCCTTCAAAGCAGTTCTTTTGTCTGATACAGCTGGATACTGTTTCATTTGGAATCTGCCATAATTCATCCTAAAACTGGGAAAACAGTTTCTTATAAGCAAGGTGTTTTTTTCTTCCATGCCCCTCGAGATTAAGTGGAATATTAACTCACGTGCAAATATTTTTGCTGAGCCAATGTATCACATAAATCCCAGTCACATCTGTTTTAGATAAACTACAAGCTGTCTGTACAGGAGTGACTTAAGTCAGATATTTTACAATAATATAAAGGCTTGACTCCTTTTATCCTGATTAATTTTCAGTCTCAAATGAGTGTAAAAATTCCAAATTTTTTCTCATCCCTCTCAAAATTTTGAAAGTTAGTTGTTAAATACATTGTTTATTTGAATGCAGCATGTAAAATTGATACAATGTATTCAAAATATTTAAAGTTGGTAAGTAATTGCTAACTAATTGGGAGACTTACAGTGTCTGTCATGTTCGTGGTGGGAATCCTGTTCAACTCTAGACTGTGTCTTGTGCAATACTCTGTGGTGTAACCTGTTAGCAGGGTGTACCAAGCTCTGTTGATGAGATGTTCTTTCTGGAAATGGCCAAGTAAAACACTCTTGATACTCAGCTCTTATGACAGATCTGGAAGCACTGCTGTTGGTAATGTAGATTCCTGATTACATTGCCGCAGTTAATTTCTTCTGTCTTCTTTCTAAGGCTGTTGAAAGACTGGGTATTTGCACAGAACCCAGTCCCTTTTGCTTCTCTGTTCTGACTGGAGCTATTAATGAGCCATGTGCATAACAATTAGTTATCCAGTGTGTATTTGGATGTTGCTTGCTATTGAAATGGTTTTGTGCCCTTCATATCAGCTGATATTTTGTTTTGTTTCATTTTTTCTCCTTTGCCTGTACATTATTAAACTGTACTTGTCTGGCATTTGCTCTTCTGAAGTATACTCTTAAAATTAAGTTCTCTGTAGTAAAAGCCTTTTTCTCTCCTGTAGCATAGCTTGGGCATTTTCTCAGAGCTGTGGTCTGTTACTTCTGTTTGCTTATTTATGGTACAGTAAAGGCCTTATTTCCAAGCTGTGCTTCAAAATGGGGCGCTATTTGTTTTTCGTGCTGGACTGTGCATTTTAACATTAGTATTTTCAGGGTTTGTGCAATTCTGTGCTGTCTCAGGTTGGACTGGGGGAAGGAACTGTGTCTCAGAGGTGCTCTCCCTCTCTTTAGGGCCCCTTCCAAGAGAGTTTTCTGCTGTCTTATCCAGCCTGGAAGTCACAGTGTGGAGGAGGAAGGCAGGGAAAGGGCCATATCCTGTCTCCTTGCTAGTTCCTCCTTGGCAATTCTTGTTGTGGGAGATATGTGAAAACAGACGTCTGTTCAGTTCCCACAACAAAAAAAAAAATCACAGTTCTTCCTGACACTTCTGTGGAGCATATAATAGTGAGAAGTCTCTGTGCTCTCCTGCTTTTTCTTTACCTGTCTGTTATTTTTGTACAGCCTAGAGGAACCACAGAAATGAAGGGTGTTTGCCTGTATGCGTGGAAGAAATCTTATTCTTTTTCTTCATCCTTTTATGTATTCCCTTTCTCATTGCAGGCTCGTGTTTTACACTGAAATACAGTCAAATTTATGACAATGTCTGACCAGTGTGGAAGCTTAAAAAATGAATTTACCGTCTCAGAGCTGGTTTTAAATGCATCTGGTTTTGCTGTAGGTGCAGCTGACATCTTGCATTATCTTTGTCTTTTTCTCTCTCTATTTTTATTATTATTTTTTTAATAATATTGCAGCCCTATGGGCCTATGGACTACACACTGTCATTCTCCCTTGCCTGGCCCAGCCCCCACCTCCCTTCCTTCATTCCTCCCTCCCTCCCTCCCTCCCTCCCTGCCGTCCTCTGGACAGAGCTGCGTATTGGCATCACTCAGGGAGCACAGAATGTTATTGTCTGATCATTTCTGCTTCTCATCCCCTTTGGCTGCAGAAACTTCACGTTTTTGCTTTGTGTGTGTGTTTGTAAAAGGCTTCCATGGCTACATAGTGTGTTAAAGGATTTTAATATCTAGGAATTTAATAGTAGCATGTAATGCTTCAAGGCTATATTGTTCACTTGCAGCAATTCTCAGTATTGTTTTCATGCACTAATCTATACTAGATCATTATAATGATATAAAATTCAGCTCTACAATTAAACTGTGGGAATTGACATAAAAGACCTGAATAACTTGGTTTAAGTGGAACAGATGCTGTTGTTATTCCATGTTAGTGTTCTGTTTTTTTTATCTATTTATTCTCCACAATCTTATTGTCTCTGTAAGAATAATTCAAGAAATATTATTTATGTAAGGATAAATAGTAAATTAATTATTTTATATATGTTATGTATTAAAGTACATGATAAATTATGTTGTAATCATAAAGGGCTGGTTTATGTTTTTTTTTTTCCCTATACAACTGTTATAATATAGTAGTCATTACAGATGTTGTTTCTCTGATTTTCCATTTTATCTGTCCTCTGAATTAAAACTAAATAAGTAATATTTGAGCCTAGTGGCATACACATTAATTCAAAAGAATTTTTTTTTTATATGCTATTCTGTGTGTAGGTGTTACCACATGACAGTAAAGCACGTCGTCTCTTTGTAACAACTGGTGGACTTAAAAAGGTTCAAGAAATAAAAGCAGAACCTGGGTCACTTCTTCAGGAATATATCAACACTATTAACAATTGCTATCCAGAGGAAATAGTAAGGTATGGAAAATGAAATGTAAAGAATTCATACTTGTAACATTGTTAGATGTTTTTCACAGGAACAACACAAAGGAAGTATTTAAAACAGCAATTTAACTCCTTTGTGAATTTTGGTTTTAATAAAACCAAAGTGTAACATTTGGTTAATTGCCCCAGTGGTAACACAACCTCTGGACACATTCGTTAGAACACTTTCTCTTTTTGTATTTGGAATCAAATTTGTCTGTCAACAAAGCCCAAATAATCAGGCTTTTGCAGGAAAGTGTGACAAAAAGTCAGTCCTGCACTGCACAGATTGAGTCTTCAGTACAACCACTCATATTTATAAAAGTCTTTGCAAAATTTATTTTGGTAACTTACTTGTGGCTTACTTAGGCTCCAAAATACAGGTATGGGTGAATTTCTGGTTATATCCTTGACTTTTGTAATAGTGTGTCTGAACTAGCATATTCAGAGGCTCCTTTGAAACTTCCTCTGATGTATAGAGGGTCCAGAGGCTCTCCTGCACAGTTGGTCTGCCCACAGCTGCCCTTCCTCCCTGAGCCTCATCACGAGGCTTAAGTGTTATATAAAAGGACCATACACCAGCTGTCTGCACCAAGTTGAACTTTGCCCTTAATGAATACAGAAACACTATTAAATAGCTTACAGTCAAAATGTCACCATCCTAAATTGTAATAATGAGAGAAATGCCCTCCTAGATTCTAGATATCCATTTACCAGTCCTTCGCTCCATCAACACATCAGAAGGATGTTGTACTCATGGACTCCCTCTACAGGCTCTGAAGATCTGCATCATCAATTTTAATTAGAGCAGCAGAGTTCTTCAGCTAATAGTAGCTAGAAACTAAGTCTCACAATACGAAGTCCTGTTTGTCTCCACAAAGAAAAGCCAGTGGCTGTCAAATGGGAAAAAGCAAAGTCATAAAGAAATTTTATTCTGCAGCTAGTACTTCAGAGGGAAAGAGGAATTTGTTTATGCTATTCTGGATATTAATAATGTTTCTTTGTTATAGCTATTTTTCCCCCTGTAAATGAAAAAAAAGAAACTAGTCATCTAGCCTGGGATGTAATAAAGAAAAAGGCCCCTTTGAGCATCTCCTGCTTGCCTGTCTGTGCTACTGCCTGATGTTGGTTGTGCTGCCTGAGGCACAGCAGCTGTGATAGAATCCAGCTCTGGGTTTGTCCTGGAGACCTGTTATTTTAGGCTGTTTGCAGACTGAATACAGTAATGCACTGGAAAGTTAGCTTTACAATCACAGAAGTAATGTGAGGTTTAAAAAGAGTTGAATCATCCAGAAATTATCCAGAAAATGAAAATTAAGAAGGCAAATAGATTTTCCTTTAAGGGAAATTTTCCTCTGGGGATTTTTTTGGAGTATATTTTAGGCCTTCATTACATGGAGGTATATTCTTCTCTCTTTATAGTTGAAGCTTTCAGGGCTCAGAGGTGGCAATTCACATGCCTGCAAAACTAGAAATACACTGAGATGTATGATTTTAGAATAATACAGTATTAAACTTCAGATAGTCTTAACCTGGAAAACAAGAACTAAATGCAGCTTAGATGTTTGCATATTGGGTGCATGTAGTTGGTCCATTGTGGAAAGCCAGTTAAATGACAGCAGGACAATAATGGCGCCAGAGTCCTACTCTAATGAAAACCTACTGGATAATGTCCATCCTCATGTGGCATTAGAGAGAGAAGGTTTATTTTATTTTCATTCCAGAACCAGTGTCCCTCTCATGGATGTAGACTTCATGTGAATTTTGGGGGTGTGTGCTTATGTCTGACAAACAGCAGCAGACTGTTGTCATTTGCAGCTGACAGTCCTGTGTAAACTCATGCTTTTTTATTAAAGGCCATAATTTCAAAAGAAGCCAACACCTACATTTCTTAGTAAAGACAATGCTTACGGCAGCTGTAGCTGAACCTACCTAAAATGTAGCTGCTTACCTGCATGCCCTAAAAGAAGCTAAATGTATTTTTAAAAACCTGACTTCCAAGTGTAAATGATAATGTAAGTTGAAAAGCAGGTTGTTAAAACATTGTAGGGGAGTAACTGTAGAATTTCTTGCCCAGTGTTTAATGCTAGGATTTTTTCCTGATCAGTAGAAATATGCACAGTGTTCCATTACTTTGCACAGAACATGCCTTGTAGTCTAACACACAAACAAAATGTTTCTCTTTCAGGTATTATTCCCCTGGATATTCTGAGATGCTTCTTGAAAGGGTGGAAAATTACCAACCAGTTTTATAAACTTCAGTGTTTTATTAGAGCTGCATTTCACATTTATGCCTTTATGACTGTAATACAAATACAGCTGTTGAAAGCCTTGCTTGATTCTCAAATCTCCTTCTACTGTTTGAACTACTGAAAAAGCTCATCAATTCCAGCAAGCTATATTTTGTTCTTTATAAACTTTTTTGTTGCTAAGTTTTTCCTTTTTATTCCTTTTTGTTTTTCTTTAAATTACTACCAGATATTGCCACATATATGAATGGAATTTCATGCAGGGGTGATGATTTATCACAGAAGCTTTTTTAGAATCAGTCATTTCCTTTTCCTTCCACAATAAAGGTTTGTTATCTCATTCAAATTTTAGCCTTCTCAGTACTATTACCATTTTCCCCTTTTGCCTTTGCATATTGTTTAAAGCTTCCCAAGCTTGATGAGGGGAAAAAAGCTGGCCCCTGTGCTTTTTTTTTAATTATGGAGTCTTTTCTGCACTGAGATACCTCCTACTGCTACCTTTGAGGAAGCAAAGTGTTGTGATTTTACATCTCTAAACATGTTAGTAACAGCTAAACAAAGAAATAATCAGATCTGAAGATGATACAAGGGCTGAATTCTGCATGATATGATAGTGTGGTGATCCTGGCCTGGTAGACAATACCTCTTTTACAAAAGTCCTCATAATTAAGGCAGGATTCACTGTGGAGGAAAGGAGCAATACTCTGTTTGGCCTGTGCATTGTTGTTCCTCTTGAGAAGGACAGAATGAACTCAGAACTTCCATGAGTGCAAAGGGAAGGACGCTGTGAGCTCTGATTCTGTGGGGGTCAGCAGCACATTTGTGTGGCTCAGAAGAGAGATTTGCTTGGCTGCAGGAACACAGATAGATAGTTAAATAAGTTCTGAGCACATTCAGAGGAAATCTGAGGACACTTAGGTCACGCTGATTGGACTGATGGGACTAAGGTGGCTTAGGATTTATCCTTAGGGTTAAGAGCTGAAATAGATGAAGAATTGAGTAAAAAGACATTTGAAACTTAAGTCTTGAAGCTGCAGATCACATTGATATGGAGGTATGAGCTCTTTCCCATCTGTAGAACATCCTGAAACTATTTTACCTTCTTTTGGAGAGTGAATAGACTTTTATATTCTGCTTATTCCTCTGGTGTATCACACAGCAAACAACCCTCTTGTCTTCTCTAATATGTAACTGTCATTTACCATTTTTTGTTCTAACCATTTTCTTTTATCTCATTTGCAGCAGTTTGGGGGGGTGGGGGGTGGTTTTTTTGTGTTTTTTTCTTTTTATTAATTTCTCGCAGAGACTACTAAACAGTGTTTCTGGAACGGGATATCTAAATACTGGCAGCCACAAGGAAAGACAATGTTTGAAAACCTCCACTGGAGAGAAACTTACCTACTTTCTTAAACATATAACTGAATGGGTTTTTAAAAGAAGGATCTTATCTATGAGAAGATAGTCTCATCTATTACATGTACAGCAGGAGCAAAGACTGATTGCAATCGGAAATTATTTAGAGTGGCTTTTCTTTGCCAAATTCCAAATGACTGTTCTTTTATTCTTGTCAGCATATTTTGCAACACTTCACAGAAACATTGTTGGGCTATCCTGTGTTAAAATTTATGTCTAAAGAGCACTGTTGTACAACACAGTACCTGCTGTGAGGTACATGGTGCTCTCAGACTGCTTTTCAGGAGGAGTAGGGGATGCACAGTACCTTACTGTATGGAGACTGAGACAGAAGCTGTTGGTGTCATGAAAGTTGGTATAAAATCCACACCAGATGTGTTCTTTCCTTAGCCCACAGCTAAGTGAAAAGCCATGGAACTGACTAGCTTCTTCCAAATGCCTTTTTGGTTTTAGTGTTTATATGATCTGACATTAATGCTATGGTACTCTGGCACTATTAATGCTAGTGGAAAAACTTTTAGACTCTTAACAAGATTGTTGTGAGGAGTAATACTCAATAATTTTCTCATGTGCACTTTGGATATTTAAAAATCAAATCTTGTACAATCTCTGAAAGAAAATGCAATGGAAGGGCTTCAAGACAGCCTTGAAGGATGTGAAGCCTCTGTTTTCCTTAGCAGAGCAGAAGTGGCGCAGAGGGCTGTGTGCAGATGGGAGGCAGCAGAGGCATGGAGCTGCGTGTCCCCATAGCTGCCTCGTGTGCTCGGGAGCACCCCCACCCCACACAATGCTAATGTATATGTTTTGTGCAGAGAGAGCAAAGAGGCTTCAGTCCCCTGACAAATGTGCTCCTGCTGTGTCACACTGTGCTACACTGTAAGGATTCCACAGGGTTAAATTTCAATGCCTAAACAATTTGTTCACAGTCTTTTCACAGTCTTTTTCTGATTCCTGACAAAGGAAATGATTGCACAAGGCAAACCTTCAAAGCGATCTGATTGTGTAGAGCACAATCTGAATCAGACCCAGCATAAATACATCTTTACATCCGCTGGGCAGCTCTGGCCTAGGCCAGTGGCTGTTTGGCTTCTTGTTGCAGGATTCCTGGAGATGCCACATCCCATTAGGCTGTGGCAGTGCAAAGTCCTCTCCCACCTAGTTTGATACCCCTGCCGTCGTTCTTTACTGGCAGGCCACTTCCCTCTTCTTTTGCCTTGCACATACACCTTGTGGCTGGAGGCTTCCCTGGAGGTACATGTCTACACAAGACAGATCTAGCCCTTTACAGCAGAATTATTGCTAATTTGTATTTTACTAATGTAACTATGGCAAGAGTTGTTTTTTCCCTGTAGTGTTTCACAAGGTGTTTCTTCAGTGTTTCTCTTCCATCTCATTTGGTTTAAGTCATCATCCAAAACTATATTAATGTTTGTAATAGCTACTCTGGCAGACTTCAAGTGTGTATCATTTGTCTCAATTTCATATAATAAAATGTAGATTTGCATTTTAATTCGTTCGAATGCTGTTTTCATGTGAGTGTATGACTGTGGTGCTACAGAAGATGAACAAAAGGCTCATTTTGCAGCTTGGCCCTTACACTGCCTTTGGATGTTTGTCTCAGCTTACCACTCAATGGTGCCTGCTTTGGTGCTTAGGACATACAGGCATTTCAAGTAAGAGTCCCTCTCACAGAGGTGGCTTATTAAGACACACAAAGAAAATTAAGCCAGTACTTTGGCAGAAATAAATGTAAGCCCTTAAATCATTTTGCCTGTTCTTTTGACTGCAGCGTGGGGACTTTTCAACTCAAATCTCTAAAGATCTTCTCTGGAGGCCTGAGCCATGATTTTTGTCTGCATTACTACAGTTATTATTACATCTACAGATGTAAACCAGGGCCTTGACAGAACATGTGGATGTGTAAAACTTTTACCATATTTCATTCAGCGGATGGATTAACTGGCCTACAAAAGCTCCTTTCTTTATCTGAATGACTGGAAACCTAGAGGATCTGAAAAGGGGAAATTCAAGGAGTTCAACTCTTGTGCATATAATATGTTCTGCATGTCCAGAGGGATTTACCAAGGGATTGCTTTGTCTCATCTGAAGTGATCAAGCTGCTGGAGATCTGCATCTTAACAAACAAATGAACAAAATGTTGAAGGAGTTGAATGGAATTGGTGGAGGAAATGAATCTCATTTAGTGAAGTAAAGCATAAAGTTACTGTAATTAGGAAGTGGATGGAGTGTGAGTAGATCTTCAAGTGTTCTTGATTTGGTCTGGCGGGTTGTGAATCAGCCTGGATGAAGGGGAGTTTTAGGCATGGAAAATGCCATGGGATGCTTTCAGCTTTGTTATGAATTGGAGTCCTCAGATTTCTGGGTATTGTAGGGGTGGCAGACAATTGTCTCACCATGTGAGGAATCTGTGAAAGCATACTTGCCTCAATTTCTTCTTTAATGGCTGTTTGGTTTCCAGTATCTTGGTTGTTGGAATTTTAGATCTCCCTTTGTGACTGTCGGGGAAGGAAATATGGAGTAGACTGGATTGCAAAGCCAGTGGTTCCACTTCTCACACTGACATAGGATTGCTTTTATGGTCTTGGATAATTATTACAAATCCCTATGATTCATCATCTTCATCTGTCAAGTATCTGTTCTACTCCTTTGTTAACTTAGAGAAGTGCTGGGAAAATTAAATTCATATGAGAATTGATGCAGCAGAACTTAAGTTCTTTATAACTAACACCATATTCAGAAAGAAATATTGTTCAAGAACCTACAAAAATTTACCTAGGAAATCTTGGAGATGCTGATTTTTAGAATCAGAGTTGAATTAAGTGTCAGTGGGTTTTGTTATTTTCCTCATCTGACACAATTTAAAAGGATCACAGAGGAAAATTATTATATCTTGTGACTATACTAAAACTATTGATGTTATTTTTGTATAATACTTAACTGATAATATTGATGCTACTGTGCTTTATTCTACAGCCAGCTCTGTAATTTAGCTAGTGAAAATACTAATTACGTTATTACCGCTGTACTATATTTCTAGATACGGCACAAAAGACTGAGTTAGAAAATATGTATAAGCAATACTAATGCATATTTTGATGATGAGAATGCCTTTTAAACCAGGAAATGTTTTTGTGCTGCGTTTCACAAGAAGTTACTCCTGCCTGTGCTAAACACATTTCATGGCTGTGTCCCTCCTGCCCGGCGATCGGATCACGAGGCTCTGAGGTGCTGAGGGACTGGGAGCTGCTGTCCGTAGCAGAAACCAGTTGTGTTCACTCTCATGCATCAGCAAGCCATGGAGAGGAACAATGCAGGGCTACTAATGGCATCCATTTAGCATATTTCCACAGAGATTTTGAAGGCTTGCTTTTTCTTCATAAATATACGCTTGTTCTGACTTCCAAATTGAGTTAAATTATAGGTACCCAAATTAAAATTAGCTGTTCTGTGTTTTATTCCTTTTGTAACAAAAATTACACTTCAAGAGGTGAGAAAGGTATGTTAATGTATTTCTTTAAAACAAAGCTTTTGATTACTTTTTTGTGTCAAATTTAGCAGCAAAAATCTTCATAATCTTATGACAAGATCTGTTCCCTTTGCTCTCAAGGAAAGTTTTGTCTTCACTGATGCAGACTAATGATGTGTTTTATCCTTGTTGTACTAT